TGGCGGGCGTCGTATACGCTCTTCTGATTGTCCTGGGAGTCCAGTAAGCGTCGTCGAGCAACTTGGCGTGCCGCTTGGGCCTTCATTATTGCATCACGAGCGTACTGAGACTTGTCATTTAGTCCGGCCGGCAGGAGGGTGTCGAAAGGTAGCGCAGGGTCACGGCCGAACAACAGAAAAAAAGGAGAGAACCCAGCGGTGTCGTGTCTGGAAGAATTGTACGCGAATGTTACAAACGGTAACGTAGTGTCCCAGTCGCGGTGATCGGCGGAGACATACATGGAGAGCATGTCGGTGAGAGTGCGATTGAGGCGCTCCGTTAGACCATTTGTTGGTGGATGGTAAGCAGTCGAGAGCTTGTGTTTAGTGGCGCAGGAGCGGAGGAGGTCATCAACCACTTTGGAAAGGAAGTAGCTGCCTCGGTCGGTAAGGAGTTGTCGAGGGGCGCCATGATGTAAGATGACGTCCTCCAAAAGGAAATCGGCCACGTCAGTTGCACAGCTGGTTGGAAGGGCCCGTGTGATCGCGTATCGGGTAGCATAATCGGTTGCTACTGCAATCCACCGATTACCCGCAGCTGACGTAGGAAAAGGGCCAAGCAGGTCCACGCCAACACGGTAGAATGGGTCTCGTGGGATGTGCAGTGGCTGAAGACGTCCGGCCGGAGGGGCATTTGGTTTTTTTCCGTCGTTGACAAGGGTCGCAGGCTGCAATATAACGGCAGACGTCGCGGTACATGCCAGGCCAGAAGAAGCGCCGGCGAACTCTGTCGTAGGTCCGTGACACGCCGAGGTGACCCGCTGTAGGTGCATCATGAAGCTGGGCGAGAACAGTGTGACGCAATTGAATGGGAACGACGAGTAGTCTTTCGGGGCCGTCAGGACGCATATTGCAACGGTACAATACACCATCATGTATTTCAAACATTCGAAGGGAAGGGTCGGGCCTCACCGATGTGAGCCTTCGGATAATACCGTCCAAGAAAGTATCTCGTCGCTGCTCGATTCCAATGTCATGAAACGCGGATAGAGAGAAAACGTCGATAGGAAGGGTGGTTTTAGAGGAGTCGCCGTCTGGAGGGTCGACAGGATACCGGGACAAGCAGTCCGCATCTTGATGCAGGCGGCCGGTTTTATACAGGACTGAGTAATCAAATTCTTGAAGGCGCAGCGCCCAACGGCCAAGACGGCCTGAAGGGTCTTTAAGGGACGAAAGCCAGCACAAGGCGTGGTGATCTGTGATTACTGTGAATGGCCGGCCGTACAAATAGGGACGAAATTTACCGACTGCCCAAACAAGTGCCAAACATTCCCGTTCGGTTATTGAATATTTTCTTTCAGCAGGCGAAAGAAGGCGGCTGGCATAAGCAACAACACGGTCTCGTCCTTGTTGTTTCTGGGCGAGGACTGCACCGATGCCATAGCCACTTGCGTCTGTACGAACTTCTGTTGGAGATGAAATATCAAAGTGGGCGAGGATAGGCGGAGACGTAAGCAGACACACTAGATTTTGAAACGCATCTGCTTGCTCAGGGCCCCAGATGAAGCCAGCGTCTTTTTTGAGAAGTTGAGTGAGAGGGCGTGCTACGTCGGCGAAGTTTTTAACAAAGCGGCGGAAGTAAGAACAGAGGCCAACGAAACTGCGAACGTCTTTGGTACAGGTTGGTACAGGGAAATCTCTTACTGCGCGTATTTTATCTTGATCAGGGCGAACCCCCACGGAATCAACGAGATGTCCGAGGACAGAAATTTCACGACGGCCGAAGTGGCACTTTGCCGAATTGAGTTGCAGGCCCGCCTTACGAAAGACAGATAAGATTTTCGATAGCCTTTCAAGGTGCGTCGCAAAAGAAGGCGAAAAAACGATAACGTCGTCCAGGTAGCACAGGCAGATGGACCACTTGAAGCCGTGCAACAGAGCGTCCATCATACGTTCGAATGTGGCGGGCGCATTACATAAACCGAATGGCATCACTTTAAACTCGTAAAGGCCGTCGGGAGTGATAAACGCCGTCTTCTCACGGTCCATGTCATCAACGGCAATCTGCCAGTACCCAGAGCGGAGGTCAATGGAGGAAAAATATTTTGCGCCGTGAAGGCAATCCAGGGCATCGTCTATGCGTGGTAAAGGGTAGACGTCCTTCTTCGTTATTTTGTTTAAATGGCGATAATCGACGCAAAATCTCCAGCTGTTGTCCTTCTTCTTTACAAGTACAACAGGGGACGCCCAGGGACTGCATGAAGGCTCGATGATATTCCGAGAAAGCATTTTGTCGACCTCCTGTTGGATGATGCGCCGCTCTGCATGGGAAACACGGTAGGGTCTCCGATGGATGGGACTCGTATCGCCTGTATCAATCCGGTGCTTAACAACGGACGTCTGGCCGAGTGGGCGGTCGCCAAGGTCGAAGATGTCCCAAAAAGATGCAAGCAGGGAACGCAGGTCGTTAGCTTGTTCTTTCGGCAAGTCGGGGGCAATCATCTTGGTTAACACACTTTGGTCTGATGGAGGAGTAGACGAAGTTTTTTCGGCACTCGGGATGCTGTCATAACTTAGAGTGCAAATATGGCACTCTGCCGCCGGCACGATCTCGGCTAGAGATATACCACGAGGGAGGACTTGTGTACATAGTGAAAAATTCACTAGGGTAGGCAGGATGCATTGGCCGTAATAGTGATGACGGTGTGAGGAAACGCAACGTTGTGCGAAAGCAGGACGTCAACATTGGGGGACACAATATAAACACCGTCTGGGACAGGTGGAACAGGGGAGACGCCTATGTAAGCTACTGTTCGTTGAGGGAGACGCAGGTGTTCTGTAGAACAAAGCCGACTTGGAGGGCAACTTGGAGGATCAACAACATTAGGTAGAGCGAGTTGCACTATACCGGCAGAGCAGTCTATCAAGGCCGAATGTTCAGACAAAAAGTCTTGGCCCAAAATTATGTCATTAGGGCAGTGTTCTAAAACATAAAACAGAACTGATGTGTGGTGTCCGGCGACGCTGACGCGAGCTGAGCACACACCAATTACGGCGACTTTTCCACCATCGGCCGTTCGGACCACAGGAGTTGGGCCAGGAGTAAGGACTTTCTTCAGCCGTGCTCTAAGGTCAGCGTTCATGATAGACACGTGTGCGCCAGTGTCAATGAGGGCTGTAGTAGGTACACCGTCGACGTCAACATTGATAAGGTTCTGATGTGCGGGCAAGGTCAGTAGAGGATTTTGGCATCGGGTCGGTATTGCAGCATCACCTCCAAGAGCTGCTCCCGTCAGTTTTCCGGAGGTGAACGCCGGAACGAGCTTGGGGACGGCGATCGGCGAGATGGGGGCGAGCGGGAGAAACGGCGTTGTGGCGAAGGGGAGCGGCTGGATCGGGGGCGCGAGGAATTCTCAGGCGTTAGCGGCTCTGTTTTCGGTGATGAGCGTGAATTCCAGGCAGGTGGGCGATGGGGCGGAGGGTGAGGCCACGGAGCAGAGCTGGACCAAGCACGGCAGTGACGCGAAATGTGGCCTATACGACCGCAATTGAAGCATATCGGCCGGTCGTCTGGGGTGCGCCATACCGCCGGGTCGCGATAATGTGGGCTGGCAGAAAAACGTCGGTTGGGCGGAACAGTCACGGGTGGATTTGGTGTGGCGTAGTCTGGACGATGAATGGAGCAGACGTTTAAGCCGGCGTTGGCCAGTTCTTGCCTCACGACGGTCTGTATGAGAGAGACGGTGGCGTGATAGCTTTCGGAGTTGGGGGAGGCTGACACGAGTGGAGCTGCGGCTTCTATTTCCCGACGGACAATACGGACAACGTCACCGGGACTTTCCGTAGAAGGCAGGCGAGGGTCTTCGCATGTGGATGTTGCAGCCGTGTTTGGAAGCCGGGCAAACTGGTGGAGAACACGGCGGCTCTTCGCTTCTTCAAAGCGCCGGCATTCAGAAATAATGTCGTGGACCGTAGATGAATTCTTGAACACAAGAAGGTGAAAGGCGTCATCTGCTATGCCCTTAATAATATGGCCAACCTTATCGGCTTCGGACATCTGCGAGTCTACCTTGCGGCACAAAGCGAGCACGTCCTGAATGTACGTGAGGTATGATTCGGTGCACGTCTGAACTCGACGTGCGAGCTCGTTTTGGGCGGCGCGTTGACTTCCCACAGGCCTGCCAAATAGCTCCCGGAGCTTTTGCTTGCATAACTCCCAGCTAGTCAGTTCTTCCTCGTGCGTCTCGTACCAGACCTTTGCGGTACCTCTGAGATAAAAAATCACGTTGGCCAGCATGAGCGTTGGATCCCATCGCATACGTACACCCACTCGTTCGTATGACTTCAGCCAGGCTTCTACGTCAATGCCATCAGTGCCAGAAAAGGTACCTGGATCTCTCGGGGGCTCCAAGATGAGGGTTGACGGTCCAGTTGGAGAAAGCACGGACGTAGTTGGAGAAGGCACGGTAGTCGGGGAAGGGTCGGCATTGTTGACTGCAGTCGCCATGGGGGAGACCACTAGGCGCCCGCTACGAAGCTCCGTTTTGCGTGAAGTGAGTACCCCGCACCTCCCACCAATGATGTTACGGGAGAATAACTTTACTTTATAAAACGAGGAATAAACTCGGTGGTGGACAAGATGGCGCCCAGTTGGCTCACAGATCTGACAACATCGTCCTCCTCTTTGTCTTCTTCGTCGTTCTCATCCTACCGTTACAATATAAGCGCGCAGGCTGTTCGTTCCCTTCGTCCTTGGGCCGTACACGTGACTCTCCTTACTTGCCGCTATGAAGTTATGTAAAGACGGCATGCGATGAAAGAAACCCAGCCAGGACCTCTAATGGATTATGTGGCAGGCCTAATAGTCTCGACAAGTACGAAATGAGACGTGGCTTTTTGGGCAGGTGTTCATTGCAACACCAAAGCACATATTTACGCTTTCACCATGAGTTGCCTTGAAAAACGCGCATAAGACATCTGTAATTTTTCACGACGAAAGTATTTTTTTCTGCCTCTTGCAGGCTTGCCATGACGACCCCGCTTGACTGAGCGACGCTCAACTCTCGGACGCCACCATGCGGCAGCACAAACACATTGAAGTGCTGCTGCTGCTGCCGTTGCTAAGCAGCTGGCCAGCAGTGGCTGACATCAAAATTGGTAAAGGCTTCTTCTTGCATATTCATGCTTGCTTCATTAGTAAAAGCGTGGTTATATAGCATTAACCACTGCAAATTCTTCTGCGACAGTCTTGCTTCTTGCAGAAAACAAAGAACTGTTTTATGAAATTTCTTGTTTACGATTAAGAAAGTCTAATGTTCTGGATGTCTGTTTTGAACTTATATATACATTTATACTTTCAGCTCGTTCAGCTACATAAAAAAAATCTGCAAGTGCGCGCCTTCATGCCCAAAATTTGACACCAACAAAAATGGCAGACGTTGGGCTAGTACTGCAACTAAGGTGATAGAATTTCGTCGGGTGGCGTCATTCTTGGAGATGTTGGTCGTACTCACCGTACAAACTTTCCGAATGCACTTCAGAGGAAGATTGGCGGGAATGCAGCCATCTTTATTTTGAAAAGCGAGATGCCTGAAAAAGCCTGGCAATGGGGAGCTCACTGCGCTGCGCTTCGCTCGTATACGGCACGTTCTGGGAGCATCATACTTCTCAAAAATCTTTACATTTGGTGCCATATAGAATGTTTCTGTTCCGTATATTTGAACGGCATCTTATTTGTTATGTAGTCGCACAGGTGCCGCTTCACAAACTGCTGATGAGAAGCTTTCGTCTTCCCATAAGGCCCGTTTTTTCTTTTCCTTTAGCTTATTTCCAGCTTCTTAAGGCAGGAAAGTTGTTATTATAAAAGATTCTTTAAAAGCATGAATAGGTTTGCATATTGTACAAATTGTAAGTACTCGGTTGTCGTAATGCAAATGATGGGATGCCTCTGACCTGTACCACAGGTGGCATTTTCGAGACGGGTGACGACGTGCTCGAAATGGCCTTCAGCTCGGCCGTAGACCGGATCAACACCATGGGCCTGGGTGAACCCGGCGCCCAGTTTGTCACCCCGGGTTCACGTCTGCTAGCTCGCGTTGAGCACACCGAGCGTCTTGACTCCTTCCAGGTACGTGATGTTCCGCGTCCACCTTTCTTCTTCACCGTACAAACAAAACAAAACAAAGAAGCATTGACCAGACAATCAAAGAAGAAAAAAATGGCAGATCTCACGCATAGTGGGAATCAATGATATGCAAAGCACGAATGAGAAATGTTGATATGTCACTTTAAAATAAGCGCAACGTCACGAGGTGAAGTTAAATGATGCCGTACATAACTTCCGTGTCATGATTATCATGTTTAGATGTGTCGTTTACCTTCGTCATCTATTCACGTCATGTGATGCCAAATTTAGTTTATGTGGAGCTAGCGAAACGGCCATGAGCATGCCATGAGCGTGGTATAATGTCATGTTCTCACAAGACACGCGTGTCAGGATTATCATGTTTCCGCCACTCATATATTTATTTCTTCATCCATTGACGACACGTAACACCAACTTTGGTATAAGTGGAGCTAGCAAAACAGCCACGAGCGCATCATGAAAGGCCCAATATACTCGAATGTAGTGTTGACGCACGCGCACGTTGGGCACAGTGACGCTACGTTAGCAAAACGCGAGCACTCTATAGTCTGACGCCAGCCGACACCAGCGTCCGTCGGCGCAGCCCGACGGCAACCGCAACGAAATGCGACATGCTGCATTTCGTGCCGATTTCTTACCCAGACAACACTGCGTCTCCCTCTTTTTGTGACGGAGAGACGCCAGACGCGCTAAAACGCTAATGCGTCAAAGCAACGCAGCGTGGCGCGCGCCTCCGAGTATAAAGCAGGACCGGTGCCTGGCGTGGCAACGCCGGCGTGACGCGACGAAATGAACGCCGGGGAGCACGCGCACCGCGTCACGTCGAAATGTAATGGCACCTTGACTGTGACATGTAACATTGTTCACACATGACACGCATCTCATGATTATCATGTTTGCACCAGTCACCTCCATCATCCATTGGCGTCACGTAACACCTAATTTGGCATATGTGAGGCTAGCGAAACGGCCACGAGCGCATCATCAGTGTGCCATGTAGTCATGTTCTTACATGACACCGATGTCATAACTATTATGTTTGGATGTATCATTTACCTATGTTGTCCATTCGCGTCACGTAATACCGAGTTTAGTACATGTGAAGCTAGCGAAACGGACGCCAGCGCATCATGACCGTGGCATGTAGTCATGTTGTTTCATGACACGCATCTCATGATTATCTTGTTTACACCAGTCACATACCTTCGTCATTCATTCACGTTCCGTAATACCGAATTTGGTATATGTGACGCTAGCGAAACGGCCGCGAGCGCATCTTGAGCATGGCATCTAGTCATGTTGTTACATGACACGCATGTCATGGATTTCGTGTTTGGGTCTGTCGCTTGTGTTCGCCATGCAATCACGTCATAAAATACCAGTTTTGCAACATGCTAGAGTTTGTAGGCAACAAAGACGTTTGTGATTTTAACGACCACCCCGTTTTCTAAACACGTACCACTTGAGGCTCCGAGCTATATATAATTTGAAGGCTGACGGCTGTCATCGCGGGAATGAGCTGACGACCTGAACAATGAATTAGCATCGGATACTCCGCAAGTGTTAAAGACCATCTTTGGCACTACTAAACTAGAGTACCTACCATTTACAGTGGTCAACCAAGTCACGAATACATCATAAACTCGGCTACTGAAGACTAAAAATGTGGGTGCTATGGATAACGAGCCAGTGGCGTTATAAAAATAATTCATGAGGTTTAATGCCACAAAACCACAATATGAATAAGACGGATGCCGTCGTGAAGGGCTCCGAAAATTCCAACCACCTGGGGTTCATTCCCATGCACCTAGATCTAAGTACACCGGCCTCGAGCATTTTCGCCTCCACTGAAAAGAAGGCTGCCGGGATTTGGTCCTGCGACCTGCGGATCAGCAGTCGAGTCCCATAACTACTAGACCACCACGGCGGGTGAGGTTAAGAGACGAGAAGATAGTGGTAGAAATTAAAAAAAAATTAGCAGGCAATGCTAATGTCCTGGTTGAAATCAAGATAAAAAGAAAAATGAATGGCCGTACAATACGGGTAGGGCAGACAACCTGTGGTCTCACAGTGTCCAAGTGGTCGCCAAGAGATGGTGCAAGCGCTTTTGAGAAAAGCAGATGTTTAGGCGATGTGATCAGGTTGAGAGTATTGTAAACAGAACTCGGAATCAGTTGATATCTATGGTAAAGACCGGAGTCTTTATTGTTTGACGACTACGATTACGCATAAACCTTGAGAAATGGCCTCGGCGTTCGTAGGTTTCATTGCCTATGTGGGTCCACTAATCATACGAAGTTCTCAACCGATGACAACTGACACTCTGACCACTTTAACCCCGCTTCACGTTTGTTGTCATGTAAGAAGTACGAATTTCTCTCTATGTCAAATATGACATTTTATAATACACGAGGAAACATAATTGGCAATGGATTGCCGCTTTCAATGAATACGCTGATAGTACATCTTGGGCCACTTGGCTGAAGCAATGTATTAGTTTGAAGGACACATATCGATCCGCAAACACAGCGAAACAACTGTCGTTCATTTGGCTATTTTTACGTAGTTGTATTCCCAGCTTTCTTTTTTTTCTTGATGCACGTTATTACAACCAGCATGTGGCACCGCTGCGTCCACAATAAACGCGAAACATTTTTTTGTGTACTGTAGGTATTTCGTGCTCTTCTATCTATCTATCTATCTATCTATCTATCTATCTATCTATCTATCTATCTATCTATCTATCTATCTATCTATCTATCTATCTATCTATCTATCTATCTATCTATCTATCTATCTATCTATCTATCTATCTATCTATCTATCTATCTATCTATCTATCTATCTATCTATCTATCTATCTATCTATCTATCTATCTATCTATCTATCTATCTATCTATCTATCTATCTATCTATCTATCTATCTATCTATCTATCTATCTATCTATCTATCTATCTATCTATCTATCTATCTATCTATCTATCTATCTATCTATCTATCTATCTATCTATCTATCTATCTATCTATCTATCTGTCTGTCTGTCTGTCTGTCTGTCTGAGGAGCAGCCATCGTATGACACGTGACCCTTTTGCGCAGGCATCGCGCAAGGTCTGCGCCTTGCTCGAGGAAGGTGTGGCGGCTGTGTTCGGTCCCCAGTCAGGCGAGGCCAGCGCCGCAGTTCGGTCGGCATGCGCCGTGCTTGACGTGCCGCACATGGAGACCCGTTGGGACTACCGCGTGAGGCCCGACAACCACTCTGTCAACCTGTTCCCGCACCCGGCCGCCCTGGGAAAAGCGTACCTGGACTTCATTAAGCACAAGGACTGGCGCACTTTCGCCGTTCTTTACGAGGAGAATGACGGTGAGCAGCATTGGCTTTCGGATGTTTTTCAGATGTTGCCTGCAGTCGTATCTCTGTGCAACAAAGAAAACTCCTTTTTACGTGGAGTGTAGGTAGATGTGCTCGTGCTGTCTGCACTGACTGAACAAAAAAAAAAAACGCTTTCTATACAAGAGAACTGTAAGCGTTTCAGAACGTTTGGAGTGAGTAATGGGGAACTCGAGAGGCATCGACGAGCGTTGAACAACGCATTGAACTGATGAATGATTTGTTGGGTATCACGTCCCAAAGCAACGATATGATTATGAGAGACGCCGTAGCAGAGGGGTCCGGAAATATCGACCTCCTGGGTTCTTTAACGTGCACCCAAATCTGAGCACACTGGCCTAAAACATTTCCGCCCCAATCGGGAATGCAGCCACTGCAGCTGGGATTCATAACAAGTGCCTTAGTCACTAGACCACCGCAGCGGGGAGAACTGATAACCGTAGTTGCGCTCACAGTAGCAGGTGGGCTTTTGGCTTCGGCGCCATACTCCGCACTGATTGAAGCCTTGTTAACCTGCAGGGTGTAAGATCGGGCATTCGTTTCTGCGCAGTTTTTCAAAACTGGGCACTCATAGACTTGTGCAGGGAAATGCCGCAAGATGTTACGTCCAAGAAAGACCAACCACAGAATAATAAATAGTTGATGGTATGTGTCTAAGAAGGGGCGTCAGGCTAGGGCCCAAATTCATACAAAATAATATTGTTGGGACCATGAGCTGCTCAGAGGTTGCAGGTACATCGATACAGACAAGTTCCCATGAGCTTGACGTTAGCTCCAGCTTGTTGCATCTTTTCTTTAAACGGTTGAGCTCTTGAAGTGGCGTGCTGTTGTTTACTGAAACGTGTCCTAATTTACAAAACATTCTCGAACAACCTCGGTGCAGCACTGATCCGGCTGCAGGAGATCCTGAAGGACCCGTTGATGCGCGAGCGCAAGGTTGTCGTCCGGCAGTTCGAGCCGGGCGTCGAGTACCGCAAGGTGCTCAAGGACGTCGGCAAGAGCGGCATCAAGAACATCGTGCTTGACGTGCCCATTGAGCACGTGCACACGGCACTAAAACACGTGAGCCTCTACAATCGGCCTCGATGTGCGAACTCTACAATAAGCTCATGAAATCTAGCACCGCCTTTCTCTGCTTTGGAGCAGATGAAGTTAAAACTGGAGTCCTTTCTTGAATGCACAGGAGAACATACAGCGCATTTCTCGAATGTCAAAGCCCGCTCTCCCCAAATACCATGCGCATTGCACGCATGGTCACTTGAGAAGACTACGTACCAACTCTGGCTTTGTATAGGAAATTTAACAATTTTCTTTCTGACGCCAATTTTGAAAAGATATCATTTCCTAAATGGTTTTTGCAAAAAATGTCTCTTACTATAGGTTTCGATGAAACTTTCTCTTGTGGTCAATTTATTAATTCAATGTTTTCGTGAATCATTGCAGAATATTTTGTAAATGTTTTCAACGCAGTTATAGTGTTTTTTGCCTGAATGTGCAGTGATATCTGCAACTTAAGATTGCACATTTGTTTTGAGTTAGTCATTAATCTAAGTTCTACCAACGCAGAGGAGCTCACTGCGTTCTAGTGGAAAGAATTGTTTACAAGCATTCTTCGGCACACTCTCGCGTAGGTGAACTCATGCAAAACAGGGTGCGTAAGATGACTGGCTGGAATCGCATCACTGTATTGGTGTGGTAGCTTTACTCGGTGTTACTATAATGTAGGTGCTCTAATTATGATTTTCACGCATATCTTAATTTTCAGGCCCAGCAGGTTGACATGATGTCCGAGTACCACAACTACTTCATCACGTCATTGGTGAGTGTCATCTAGTGATTATGAAAGAGAAATCACCAATTATTATTTCCACTGATCATGAGCGTGCCTAACACGAAAGTGTTGTATGCCGTTGTACGCCAAGATTTTAGTGACGCATTTCCGTCATAGATGTCGTTTATAAGGTGAATGCCACCAAATGAAAAAGAAAAATAAACTTGACCCACGACTATAAGCGTCCGTTGCTCTACCGACTGAGCTGTCGATGCAGACACGAGTCTCCCTGCAAACGCGCCTTATATCTCACACATACTCTGCGCAAAGTGCTCTCCATTGGTCATCGAGGTGGTGCCGCCCACTGTGAGCGGTGAGAAGAAGTAATGGACTATGACACTCACTATTGTCGAGAAATCACGGTTCATCGACGACACAGTTCAACCATGGTGTCCGAGACTGTGTTTCGGCTTGCAGTATCGGAGGCCATTGTTAAAGCATCGCGGTAGCAGCCAAAAAAAAAACATTGGCCGCGCAAGCATCGGGGAGCAGCTCTATACGCAGTTATGTTATGTGCCTTCCGCTTTGTGTAGGCGTATGATGACTCGCTGTCGGAGTAGTGCAGCTTCCGCAAGCACCAGTGACATTTCACTGCCGATAATAAAACTGCTGCTGCAGTAAGCGCGCAAGCGCTGCAGAAAGACAGCGATGTCGACGGGAGAATGTCTTGTCTTGTAGGAGTGAGACAGAGGCCAGCGGAACGCTTTCATGCCTTCGGGGCTTAGGCTACGAACCTCTGCGTCCCGTGTAGTTGAAGCGCACAGTAGTGTATTCATGACCACAGGCGTAGGTTGCTTTGATATTCAGGAGTCCTCATCGGGCCCTCTGTCTCCTTAATTGACGACGCTTTTAACAAGTTCATACCAAGAGGGAGAGAGAGAGAGAAAGAAAAGACATTTATTTGGTCTGGAAGGAAGAGGATGAGATGCGTATACATCCAACTCCTGACTATAGACCCTTGTCGGGACGGGGAGTCCGAGTCTATCCACCCTCTCACGGGCCTTCCGGACAGTCAGTAGCTGGAGTTCGTAGCTGGGGTCATTGATAGCAGCGGTCCATCAGGCTTCTGGACAAGTGCGTTCCAAGTAACAGTGTTTATATGTGTTTGTTGGTGCGATATTTGTGCGGCATTCCCGATACACTGTGTCCACGTATAGGTTAACAACTTAAGCTTGCACATTAGTTATATCGTCATAGGTATTAGTCGTCGCGATGGAGATGTGCCACTATGGGCATCAACATGGGTGCACCTACGTCAAACAATGTTACAGCTGCCAACACCAATGCTTCTTGCACAGACTCTCAATCACTACACATCAAGCACTACTTCTAAGATGACACTGTTCACTTTCGAGCTTCACCGATTCATATGACATATGGCATATCAGTCATTTAGACGCTTTTCTAGAGGAGGAGGAATAAAAATTTATTGAACTGGCATCGGGACACTCGCTTGCTGGATTCCGTGCCGACCGGTTGTGCCCTCTCAATCTCCGGCGTCAGCGTAGCTCTGGCCGACTGGGCTCGCCCTACGTCATCTCCTGACGCTGACGACCTTCGACGACAGCGTAGCTCTGACCTACTGGACTTGCCCTACGCCATCTACTGACGCCGACAAGAGCTCTCGCAAGTGGTGCCCCGTCCTCGGACTCCTGTCACGGTGTTTCCATCTTTATTATCTCTCATATCCTCTCGATATGTCGTCGCTCTCACGCTTACCACTTCACGCCTCTTTCACTATACCTTTAATCCTACCCTTTTAATCCCTCCTCGCACCCATCCCTTGTGAGCTACTGTTGAGGTGTCGCTCGCTGAAGCAGACAGTTACGGGGTTCACTTTTCTTTTCCTTTCTCATTCAGAACCACTTAGAGAGAAACGGCATATTAAGGTTTCCGTGGGTGGAGCCCTTATTCAAGGTCCCCACTGGCCCGTGGCTCGCTTAGCCTGGTCCAAGGTTGCCCGCAGGCTTCCCAGTTCCTGCCGGGGGAGTCGCACCTCACACGACCTTTCAAATTCGTTTCGTGTGATGAGGGGGGAGTTGCCCTCTGCTGGTCTTTGTCGGCAGGTCCAAAGGTTGTGCTGGAGTGTCGGTGTGTCACCGCACCATGGGCAGTGGTCCTAAAAGTGGGATGGCCGGATTTTTTCTAAGCGTGTGTATGTTGGGATATGTGTTCGTCTGTATTCGTCTCCAATCCCTGGATTGCCAGCGGGTGAGTTTACGGTGGGGTGGCGCCATCGTCTGCCGGGCCAGTCTTTGGCTCTCAAGAATATCTCGCGGCAGCGTAGATGGGAATTAATTCGCCCGGATCGGCATGTCCGCGGCTCGGACAGTTAATTCTCGAGCCAAGCGGTTTGCCCGTTCGTTTCCTCCTACACCTTCGTGGGCGGGGCACCATGTGATGCCGTGGTCTTCTTGGAGGTTGGATCCTAGCTTACGTAGGGCGCTATTGGGAAGGACGCCTATGAGTAACAGTCGACAAGCCTCTTGGGAATCTGTGAGAACGTTCGCAGACTGTCTTTTGCACTCTGCTGCACGGATGGCTAGTGCTATGGCTGCCGCTTCTACTACGACCGTGCTTTTCGTACGTATTGTTGCCGTGCGTTTTGCCTCGTTGGGTATAGACTAGAGTCTGTATAGTAAGTGTCTGAGTCATATCGTAACCGTTCTAGTGCCGCCGCCCTTGCTCGTATGCGGCCGGCATTAACATTGGGGTGCATGTTTCTCGGGATAGGGGTGACGTATATGTGTTCCCTGTCCTTTCTATGTATTTGATGTGTCTCCTCACCGCAGAACTGTGGTGACAAGGGGTAGTGGAGCCTCTTTAGCAATAGTCTGCCTTGCATCATCGAGTTGAGTCTCTCTCTTTGCGCGATCTCTTGCTGCGGCGTGTTCGTCATATGTATTATATACACCCAATCATTCCAAACGCTTTTGTCAGTGCAGCCCGGGAGACCCAATGCAGCTTTCTTAGCAATGCGTATGAGTGTGTTGGTCTGCTCTGCTTCCTATCTGCGTGTGAGTTGGTACGGGAGAGCACATGTAATGCGGCTAATGATAAAGGCATGTACCAACCTCCTGGTGTCTTCTTCCGTCATGCTCTCGTTACTGCAAGTGACTCGCTTTACGAGTCTCGCTATGCTCCTCGTCATGCGTTTTAGTGTTTTTAGCAATAACGATGTGCTGCACGTCTCCTCTATCAGCATTCCCAGCACCCCGAGCTCCTGTATTTGCTTTATCTGGTTCCCATTCAGGGAGAGAGAGAATAAAATGAGGGAAAGGCAGGGAGGTTAACCAGAAAATGGAGCATCCGGTTTGCTACCTTGCACTAGGGGAAGGGGGAATGGGGAAGCAAGATGGGAAAGAAAGCGAAGAGGGAAATAGACGCGCGCAAAAAAAAAGGGGTGGGGGGCTGGGGTGCTATAGTTTATACAATAGGCCACTGCCACGCAAAAAGTTCACTAAGGTCTTCACTGATTTTCTGTGAGCACACAGATCATGTCGCTTTTGAAGCACTTATTGTTCCGACAAAGGTCTGTAGTCAAGGCGAGCTAACGCAGCAGCTAGTTGCCGTATTTGCACGCTGTAACGAGGGCAGTGACAGAGAACGTGATCTATAGTTTCATCGCTGCCGCAATGACCGTAAGCAGCACTGTCTTCCATGCCGATTCGGAAGGCGAAAGCTTTTGTGAAGGTGACACCAAGCCATAGTCGGCAAAGCACCGTTGTATCGAGTCGAGAGAGTCCAGACGGAGGCCGGGGTCGATGAGACGTGTCCAGTCTATGCAGTCGCGTGTACCGTAAGCCCTCGGCGTTCAACAGGGATTTTAATTCTGCATTAGCGATTTTTCGAATTGTCATTGAAGCTGCATCGGCATGTTCGTTACCCAATATGCCGCAGGGATTTGGAAGCCACTGAAATGTGATTCTGTGTCCTTCGTCGAAGAGGTAGTGAAGCAGCTCTCTATTTTCCAGCACTTGTTGTTCATGAGGTCCCCGGCGTAAAGCGAATATCAAACACTGTAGTGCGGCCTTAGAGTCCGTGAACACGCTCCATTTCTTGGCTTTTTGGTGTTTAAAATGACTAAAACTGCGCTACGTAGAGCAGCAAGTTCCACAGCTGTCGATGATGTCTGGTGCGATAACCGAAAATTCACCATTGTCGCTGTTGCAGGAAAGGTCACCGACCCTGCAGACGCATCCGCTTTAGTTGAAGCGTCAGTATGTAGAAGAGTATGCTCACTGTACTTATCATATAACAAGAGAAGAGAAAGCTGCTTTAGCCTGGAGACGAGAGCCGGGCTTTTGACCCTATGCTTGGAACCGTGAGTTCAACATGGGCATAGGTCATACTCCATGGGGGAGTTAAAATTCTGGATGGAGTTGTATATCCCGTAGGAATGCGTGTGCGATATGACAAGACTGTCTGGCACGTTGAGGCACGAGGTTGGTCTTCTGGCAATGAAGCTAGATGATGGGCAGGGGCGCGAGTAAGATGCCTTACGTGTCCTCTGAGCACTTCCATTATGATATGCATCTTGAGCGGGTAGTCATTAGCAATCTCGATTGTCTCAGCTGTTGATGAACACCGCAGTAGCCCCAGACAAACTCGCAGAGCCATAGCCTGGATGCTTTTGAGAGTACGAATGCTGGTTCTACAGGTATTGGTCAACACAGGCAAACTGTAGCGCAAATAGCCAAGAAAAAGCGTCTTGTACAATTCCATCATTGCATGTACTGAAGTCCCCCAGGTTTTTCCTCCAAGATACTTGAATAGGTTAGCAATTTTTGTCAGCCTCCTCTTCAAGTGGGCCACATGTGGGCCCCCGCAGAGGTCTCTATGAATACGCCTAGAAATCTGTGCGTCCTGACATATGATATGACTTGGCCGTCGATAGATATAGCGTATGGTCTCATTGGCTTTCGACTCAAAGCAATCAATGCGCACTTCGCTGGCGAGATTTTCAGACCCTGTTCCTTGAGGTACAC